CAGAATTTTGAAGTGTTGCCTTGGCAGCAAGTTCGGCCATTGTGTTCCCAGAAATGCCAGCGTGGCTGGGTAACCAACAAAAGATGGTGTCATATTGGGCAGTAGCATGATCATTATACAATTCAATAATTTCAATTAAAAGTGAATGTTAATAAGAGAGATTTTTATACCCTGAAGGCAAGAAAGAGAGTCAGAAAAGATTATATATTGTTTATGTTTAGGATGTCTTTGAATACATACTGAACATCATTGAAAATACACCACCTGTACATTTTGAAATATGGTAATAGGATTGTTTTGAGAGTGAAAATGAACGTTGGATATGTTGTTAATAACACACAAGACAATAAATAATTCTGTACAGTAAAGGACGGATTGCCCGAACACATCACGGAACACATCACATGACAACAGCAAAATTCATGCACAACACACGAAAAGCACAAACTGCATGTGTAAAACATGCTGATTAGGGGTATAAATGACCGTCGGCAAAACAACGTTCTCATTTTAGCTGTACCTCCGCAAGTATTTTTTGCAATGCCAACATTGTCACCAGAGGAACGAGAACGGGCGTTGGGCATGTTGCAGGTTGGCACATCAAGCAACATTATTGCCAGACGATTTGGTTGCCATCATTCCATCATCATAAGACTTGCCAACAGGCACCAACAAACAGGAACCACCAACGTCTTGGCCATGCAAGTGTTAACACCCCTCGCCAAGATCGAGACATTGTTCGGTGCCATATTCGCGATCGTACGTTGCCGGCTGCCAGAACCGCCAATGCTTTCCAAGGCCGACGTGGTTTGATCAGTGCTTCCACCTTCCGACGCCGTCTCCGTGCGGCAGGATTACGGTGTCGACACCCATATGTTGGACCCATCCTGACAGATAGACATCACCGTGAACGCCGACAATGGGCTCAGCAGCATCGTTTGTGGTTGTAACGACGTTGGCATGGTGTTGTGTTCTCCGACGAGTCACGTTTTCACTTGCGAAATGCTGACGGGCGTCTACGGGTATGGCGTCGACGGGGAGAACGTTACCATCAGGACTTTGTTGTGCAAACAGATCGGTGGGGTGGAGACGGCATTATGGTGTGGGGAGGGATCAGTTATCATCACAAAACCACTCTGGTAGTTTGTCTTGGCAGAGTTAATGCCCTTTACTACCGTGACACCATTCTACAGGACAACGACGTTCCCTTCTTTAACAACATCAAGATCTGCACACATTCCAGCAGGACATGCTCGAGAGCACACTGCACGTGTTGCAACACAGTCTCTGGCAAACAAAAACATTCCTCTACTTCCATGGCCTGCATTGTCACCAGATTTGTCTCCTATTGAACACTTGTGGGGATTACATCGGCCAACGCCCCTCACGTCGCGCACAGATCAACAACATTAGGGAACTTGAGAATGCCTTGCAACAAGAGTGGAATGCATTGCCTCAAAACATTATTCAGAGACTTATCAGTTCAACGAGGAGACGTTGCACAGCTTGTGGTGCTGCTAACGGTGGTCATACACGTTACTGACTTTCCAATTTGACTCCATCTTTCTTTCATGGTCAGTTAAATGGAAACTTTGCTGTTTTGCTGGATTGGTTCTTGTTTGTTTTCTTTACCAATCATTGGACTACACAAGTATGTAAAATTTTCAATGATGTTCAGTTTATTTAAGAGCGGTTAATATTGCGTTTGCTTCTGCTGTAAAAAAAAGCTGTTATCCGGTATTCTAGAAGATATTGTTCTGGATCCAGTGACAGTGGCACATGCCATCGTGCCACCGTCCTTGGACCCATCTGTAAATAAGGATTTATATGTATTATATTTAATTATTAATTGATTATATTTCTTGTTTATATTGTAATTCATTAGTTTCTGATTTCTTAAACTTTGTCAGAGTTAGATCAACTTCAGGCCTCACTAATTGCCAAGAAGGAGAAGAAAGAAGACAGGAAGGAATGCCGGCAGCAGTAAGGAATGGTTTAATTTTGAACCCAAGAGGCGGAACAAAAATCATCAAAGATGGGACTAAAGACACAGTTGTATGCAGGGTTCGATTTGTTAGAGTACAGCTTGGTAATGTATTGTAAAGATAGTTTTATACGGCGTTGTGTAAGAGATGGCTCATTTGACTTGACGTAGAGACTGTGAACAGAAGTTCTAAAAGTCCCAAGACAAAGTCTGAGGCCTTGACGGTGTACAGAATCAAGTAGTTTGAGGTTGCTTTTACAGGCTCCACCATATACGATGGAGCCATAATAAAGTTTCGAGCGGACCAGTGATCGATATAGGTGTAGGAGGGTAGTTTGGTTCCCTGCCCTCTTTGAGTTGGAAACAACTTTCAGCAAATCGAGTGCCTTCAGGCATTTGGCTTGAAGGGATTTAATATGTGGCAAAAAAAGTTAATTGGGAGTCAAAAATTAGACCCAAGGACTTGGCCTCCTTAACAACTTTGATGGGAGTGCGATTTAAAAATAGTTCTGGGTCCTAATGCGGCTTATATTTTCTGCAAAAGTGTACACAATTTGTTTTGGATTTAGAAAACTTACAGCCGTTTTCAAGACACCATTTATCTGTTTTGTTTAAGCACAACTGCATTTGCCGTTCAAAAGTATGCATATTTTTACCACAAGAAATATTAAAATCATCCACAAATAACGATCCATCAATTCAATCATTTAAAACTTTGAACATACTTAAGAGTGTGACAGACAAAATACTGCCTTGAGGAACACCCTGATCCTGATTATAATGATCAAACAGGGTATAGCCCACTCGGCCTTGAAATTGTCTGCCATTTAAAAAAGTTGGCTATAAATTGAGGCAAGCGGCCTCGCAATCCCAAGCCATGTAAATCATTTAAAATGCCATATTTCCACCTAGTGTCATATGCATTTTCTAGATAAATAAAAGATAGACACAGCGAGTTGTTTATTAATGAGAGCTTTTTTTAACAAATAAACAGAACTTCTGTTTTTGCGGAAAGCACATGGTATATCTGTTATAAAGTTATTTTTATGTGTTTCCAAGTACCAAACAAGTCGATTATTTACCATGCGTTCCATGGTCTTGCAAACGCAGCTAGTAAGTGAAATTGGCGTATAATTGGAAGGATTTGTATGATCACGTCCAGGTTTAGAGATATGAACAATAATAGCATGACGTCACGAAGGAAATTGTCCAGATGTCCAAAGATCATCAAGAATATGTAAGAGTGTCTCTAAACATGATTCTGGTAAGTGCTTCAGGAGTTGATAATTTATGTTATACGGCAGCAAAGGGATCACCATCCAAATCACCAAAAAGGCTCACACTGCGGGTAAATTAAACCTATATTTGTACGTGGTTATGGACGCACAACTCATTATACAAAATGGAAGATTCGTGCAAGCCATCTTTTAAGTTTGATATTGAACTGCCCCTGGAACTGCATTGCGCCATCGTGTGCAGTCAGACTGGGAGCGGGAAGTCCGTGTTTGTATTGAATATGCTGGAAGGGTATTATTGGAATGTGTTAGATCATATCGTGATTCTTTGCCCTACTATACTTATCAATAAAACGTACATGGAGAGAGCGTGGGCGATGAACGATGCGAAGGCATATAAAATCGACCCGGGAGTACAGTTACAGGACAGCCTTTCACGAGAAGTTCGAAGGAGAATCGACGCTGTTTATCCTGGACGATTGCAGCGCGAATAAAGAGATCACCAAGAAAAGACATGTTATCGTGGTGACCTTGAAGATAAGGTCAAGGTCACGCAAATCGACTGGTGTCTGCGTAATCCCCCAATGTAGGCTGACACCAATATTGAAGACATTGGGTACAACAGTTCATGAGATATCGCCTGAACAAGAGTTGGAAAAGTGGTCAAAGTGTCGTGGTGACCTTGAAGATAAAGTCAAGGTCACGCAAATCGACTGGTGTCTGCGTAATCCCCCAATGTAGGCTGACACCAAATTTGAAGACATTGGGTACAACAGTTCATGAGATATCGCCTGAACAAGAGTTGGAGAAATGGTCAAAGTGTCGTGGTGACCTTGAAGATAAAGTCAAGGTCACGCAAGTGAATGGTGTCTGCGTAATCCCCCAATGTAGGCTGACACCAAATTTGAAGACATTGGGTACAACAGTTCATGAGATATCGCCTGAACAAGAGTTGGAAAAGTGGTCAAAGTGTCGTGGTGACTGTTGTCTGCGTAATCCCCCAATGTAGGCTGACACCAAATTCGAAGACATTGGGTACAACAGTTCATGAGCTATCGCCTGAACAAGAGATGAAAAAATGGTCAAAGTGTCATGGGTGACTGGTTGTAATCCACCCAAATGTAGGCAAACACCAGATTTGAATGAGTATCCTGGTACAACAGTCCCCAAGAATAGTGACAAGAAATTTGAAAAGTGGTACAACAGTGTCGTAGTGACTGTTATCTGCGTAAACACCCAAATGTAGGCTGACACCAAATTTGAAGACATTGGGTACAACAGTTCGCGAGCTTACCGCCTGAACAAGAGATGGAAAAGTGGTCAAAGCGCTCGTGTGACTGTTGTCTGCGTAAACACCCAATGTAGGCTGACACCAAATTTGAAGACATTAGGGTACAACAGTTCATGAGATATCGCCTGAACAAGAGTTGGAAAAGTGGTCAAAGTGTCGTGGTGACTGTTGTCTGCGTAATCCCCCAATGTAGGCTGACACCAAATTCGAAGACATTGGGTACAACAGTTCATGAGCTATCGCCTGAACAAGAGTTGGAAAAGTGGTCAAAGTGTCGTGGTTACCTTGAAAATAAGGTCAAGGTCACGCAAATCGATTGGTGTCTGCGTAATCCCCCAGTGTAGGCTGACACCAAATTTGAAGACATTGGATACAACAGTTCATGAGATATCGCGTTAACAAGAATCGGGACGTACGTACGGACGGACGGACGCTGCTGAATACATAGTCCCCACAAAAATATTAAAAATTCAGAACATTTATACGAGGTCTACTCACGGTATCCACTCGTTTCAGCCAATGAAGGCGATTCTGTTCTCATGCACAGACCCATTCGGGTTTCTGGAAACAAAATTCAAACACTTTATTTCTAAATTTACCCTTAAATCAAATGTCATTTCCAGTCTCATGCATCAGGTCACAGGTGCAACTGTTGTCTAATTGGGTGCCGCAAATTACTGTATATAATTGTATCCCTTGGGCACGTCACACAATGACTGCAGGCTTTCCACACACACTGACCTGTCACCATATACCACGCTGTGATGTCACTGGAGCTTTCCATGTACTTTCACCAGTCACCATATACCATGCTGTGATGTTACTGGAGCTTTCCACACACACTGACCTGTCACCATATACCACGCTGTGACATTACTGGAGCTTTCCACACACACTGACATATCACCATATATCACACTGTGATGTTACTGGAGCTTTCCATGTCCTTTCACCAGTCACCATATACCACGCTGTGATGTTACTGGAGCTTTCCACACACACTGACCTATCACCATATACCACTATGATATTACAGGATATTTTTATAATATCTCTGGCACCCATGAAGGGCCACCTCCTCGTGGTGGGTGCTGGGTCACGCCAAGCGCCCTTCAACACCCCGTTGTGGACCCGGGGGGATATTAGGTCCAACAAACCGTTTGCCGTGGGTTGCGCCCCTGTGTCGGTGGAGGACGGGATTCTGGTGGTTGAGGGCAGGGGCTCCAGGAACAGCGTTCCTTTGCCCAATACACCACTTCGACCCTTACTTCACCTAGACGGGTGGTTGAACTGGCCCGGTTCAATCAATCGGCTGGTCACGGCAAGCCCTGTGCTACAACTGTAAAATGTTACACAAAATTTGAGAATTAATATATGACATTTTTAAGTCTTGGCAATTTTTGAATTTTTGAATGTCAACTGCACGATTTCATGTATGTTTTTGCCTAGAGTCGTATGCCCAGAAGGCGGTGGCTCATGGGCCAATCTGGTGGATTCATTAATCTTTTAATTTTTCTGCTGGAGTATGTCATCCGGGTATCCTTGGTGCTGCAAGTCGGAGATCCGCTTGTTTTTAGCATCGTCCTTGTGATACTCCGTGGTGGGTGGGGAGCTCGGATGATGAAATGTAATACAATAACCATGGCTTACGAAACACCAACAAAAAAAAAAACCAAACGTCCTCTTGACAATGACCCTGTTGATGATGACCACAGACTACCTAAATCGATTGAGTATTTGCCACGTTTCCTTGTAATCAAGACTCTAGACAAGAGTCCATTAAAGTTGAACCCTTTTGCAGTATCTAAGGGTATTCAAGGTATTGCTGGGGATGTAAAGAACATCAAACGTCTCCGTTCAGGTGCGCTGCTAGTTGAATGCGCGAAAAAAACACAATCAACCAACTTGATGAATACAGAATTGTTCGTTGGCATTCAGGTCTCGGTCTCTGCTCACAAAACTTTGAACACAAGTAAAGGAATCGTCAGAGACCGGGACAGATTGTTTGATGATATGTCAGAACTTGACATAGTATCAGAAATGAAAGATCAAGGTGTTCTTTACGTTAAGCGCTTTACAACCCGGAAAAACAATGAAACTTTCAGAACGAATACCTATCTTTTTTCCTTTTCATCCCCAAATGCTCCCAAATCGCTGAAGGCAGGTTACTGTAACATTCCCCGTTGACACCTACATCCCTAACCCACTCAGGTGTTTTAAATGCCAGAAATATGGACACGGAGTAAATACTTGTACATTGTCTGTTGTGTGTGCTCACTGTGGTGAGAAGACACACACAACAGAAGATTGTAACAGTACTTTTAAAACATGCACCAACTGCTCGGGCGACCATTCAGCTTTTTCTAAAGAGTGTCCCATTTGGAAAGAGCAAATGGCAATTAACAAAATCAAATTTACCCAAAATATCACTTTTTCTGAGGCCAAAAAACTGGTAAAGGGATCCGACCTTCCAGAGAGTTATGCTGCAGTAGCCAAATCACCATCTCAGTCTAGCTCTAAAATAACAAAAGCATCCACTAGCTGCCAAACAACCTTGACTTGGGTCAAAGGGGACTCTCCACAGAATTTGTACCCTGAGATATCGTCTCAGACTGAGGAATCACTTCCTGGTACGGCAAAATCTTCTTCTCAATCACGCTCGCTCACTCAATCGTCATCTGACAATCAACAAATTGTTCAAAGTAAAGGTAAAGCCTAAGCCTGATGCTAACAAGAAACAAAGTGGCAGAGCTCCAAAGGGTCTCAAAATAAAATTCAGTTGTTTAACAAATATGGATCTCTTGAGGACATGGACGTATCTGAAAACGTCCATTCTAGGGCACATAGCTTGTCGCCCTCCAAACAAGTGCGGGGTAGATCCCCAATAAATCCCCCCAAAAGATAATGTCTTTTAATAATCTTGTACAGTGGAACTGCAGAGGGCTAAGGAATAACTTCAATGATTTGCAGCTCTTAGTCCAGGACTTCACACCATCAGCCATTTGTCTCCAGGAGACATATTTAAAACAGACGGATACATTTGAATTACGTAATTTCAATGCATACCACTCCTTTTCACCTCCAGGTGATCGGGCCACTGGAGGATGTTCGATCCTTATCAAACAAAGTGTTATCCACAGCCCTGTTATACTTAATACTGGTCTCCAGGCGGTTGCAGTAAGACTGACGTTACATGTTGCGTTCACATTATGCTCATTATACTTCTCACCATCTTCAACTCTTCGGAAGTCTGACCTTCAAAATTTATATGACCAACTCCCAAAACCTTGTATCATTATGGGAGATTTAAATGGCCACAACCCGCTCTGGGGTGGTACAACAACTAATGCCAAAGGTAAACTATTAGAAGACTTTTGTTCAGATAATGATGTATGCATATATAATTGATGGTTCGAGCACATATTTACATCCTGGCACAGGAACTTATTCAGCCCTTGATTTATCAATTACAGACTCAGACTTATTGAATGAATTTGAGTGGTCAGTCCACGACGACCTGTGGAAGTGACCATTTCCCCAACAATTCTCCAACCCGTGATTCCATCTGATGTTCCTCCATCATCAAGATGGAACTTTAAGAAGGCTAACTGGCCTTTATATGAAACTTTCTGTGCTGACAAAACTCAAACCTGAACTTTTTCATGATCTTCCTGATGCCATCAAATGTTTTCAGATGAGCTCAGACACATAGCTGACAAGTGTATCCCCAAATCCTCTGCAGTTCCTCATGTACGTAAACCATGGTTTAACGCTGAATGCAAACAAGCTCGCAAGGCACGGAAGAAAGCTGAACATTATTTCCGTCGCCATCCTATGGTCCACAATTTAAACAAATTTAGAATTCTAAACGCCAAAGCACGGCGTACTTTTAAACAAAATAAACGCCAATCTTGGCGAAACTATGTCTCAAACATCAATTCGCGCACGCCAATATCAAAGGTGTGGAACATGATACAGAAAATAAAAGGTAAGGGCTCTAAATCTAGCATTAAGCATCTAAAAAATGGAGATGAATTATTAACTAATAAATCTGACATAGCAAATAAACTTGGAGAAACTTTGGCCAAACATTCTTCCTCATCAAACTATGTACCTGAATTCCAGAAATATCAAAGACAGCAGGAAAAGAAATATATTAATTTCAATTCAGACAATGGGGAAGACTACAACGAAACCTTTTCGATACATGAGCTTCATACTGCTCTTGACCAAGCTCACGATACTGCTTCAGGAGCTGATGGTATACATTATCAACTCCTGAAGCACTTGCCTGAATCATGTTTAGAGACGCTCTTATCTATTTTTTGATGACATTTGGACATCTGGACAATTTCCTTCGTCGTGGCGCAATACTATAATTGTGCCAATCCCTAAACCTGGACGTGATCATACTGATCCTTCCAATTATAGCCCAATTTCATTAACTAGCTGTGTTTGCAAGACTATGGAACGCATGATAAATAATCGATTTGTTTGGTACTTGGAAACCAATAACCTTCTAACTAATATACAATGTGGTTTCCGTAAAAACCGTAGTACCATCGAGCATTTAGCATACGACACAACATGGAAACATGGGATTTTAAAAGATTTACATGACTTTGGATTACAAGGCCTTTTGCCTCACTTCATATCCAACTTTTTAAATAACAGGCAATTTCAAGTCCGAGTGGGTTCAACCCTGTCTGACCATTTTAATCAGGATCAGGGAGTCCCGCAAGGCGATAGTGTGTTTGTTACACTGTTTAGCATCAAGATTAACAGTTTATCAAAGGTTTTAAACGATTCAATTGATGGATCACTTTTTTGTGGATGATTTTAATATTTCTTGTCGCGGTAAGAATATGCATACTATTGAGCGGCAAATGCAGCTGTGTTTAAATAAAATACATAAATGGTGTCTTGAAAACGGCTTTAAATTTTCTAAATCCAAAACTAATTGTATACATTTTTGTAGAAAATATAAACCGCATAACTGTTTCTCAATGGCACTCCCATCAAAGTTGTGAAGGAGGCCAAGTTCTTGGGTTTAATTTTTGACTCGCATCTAACTTTTCTTCCCCATATCAAGTCCCTAAAAACTAAATGCTTGAAGGCACTTGACTTGTTGAAAGTCGTTTCCAATTCTAAGTGGGGAGGGGATCAAGCTACCCTCCTACAATTATATCGATCATTGGTACATTCCAAACTTGATTATGGCTCCATCGTTTATGGTGGAGCCTGCAACAGTAATCAAAAACTTTTAGATTCTGTCCACCACCAAGGTCTAAGACTATGTCTTGGTTCCTTTAGAACTTCACCTGTTGACAGCCTCTACGTCGAGGCTGATGAGCCACCTCTTACACAACGCCGTATAAAATTAACTTTACAGTATAATACAAAACTTTATTCCAATGAGTCAAACCCTGCATATAACTGTGTCTTTAATCCACTATATGAAGATCTGTATAACAAGAAGCCTTCCCTTGTTCCGCCTCTTGGTATTAGAGTGAAACCTTTTCTTTCTGCTGCTGGCATTGAGCTAGAACATATAGTTCCTTCCCGTTTTCTTTCTTCTCCGCCTTGGCAGTTGGTTAGGCCACAAGTTGACCTAACATTAACTACATTTAAAAAAACAGAAACAAATGAATTACAGTATAAACAAGAATTTAGTCAATTAAGAAATAAATATACTACATACAAATCCTTATTTACAGATGGGTCCAAGGATGGTGGCGCAGTGGCATGTGCCACTGTCGTTGGATCCCGAACAATATCTTCTAGAATACCGGATAACAGCTCTATATTTACAGCAGAAGCAAACGCCATCTTAACAGCTCTTAAATATATTAATAAACACCGTAAATATAAACAATATATCATCTTTTCAGATTCTCTTTCGTGTCTTCAGGCTATTAAAAACCTGTCTTGTAAACATCCACTTTTATTAGAAATTATTGAATTGTACAATGAACTTGCTACTGGCCAATGCGACATCGTCTTTTGTTGGTTACCCAGCCACGTTGGAATTTCTGGGAACACGATGGCTGATATTGCTGCTAAGGCAGCCCTCAACAAATCTGTGACACCACTTCTGATCCCATACTCTGATCATAAAGCTAGCATTAGAACATACATCCGCGATCTAATGCAAAAGAAGTGGGACACCCAAGTAGGTATTAATAAATTACATTCAATAAAACCCTACATTGGTAACACCTACTTGGGTTGTCAGTCCAGATTTGAGGAGGTCATTACGCGACGATGTCGCATTGGCCATACCAGATATACTCATGAATATTTATTGAAAGGCGAAGATCCTCTGTTTTGTATCCCTTGTGATGAAAGGATCACAGTTAAGCATGTCTTGCTTGACTGCATTGAATATTCCATCACAAGGGATATCTATTTCATATCCAAAACTCTGAAGGATCTTTTTAATAATGTCAGTCCTCATTTAATTATTGCATTTTAAAAAAAAATAGATTTGTTGACTGATTTGTAAATAGTTAAATATTTTATTATTGGTAGTTTATATTAGTAACTGAGATTGTTAGTGGCTGTACCCTCAAAGGGGGTTGACGAAGCGTAAAATTATTGTCCTCCTGAGGGGGTACGTAAGTCCCAAAACTTTCAAAGTCAATTTAAGTATACCATGTTTTTAATCGTAGAATATGTGTGCTTTTAATTTATGGCTAGATTTCTCTTCTGTCGCCGATGACTGAAGGGATGGTGTAAATCCAACTAGGGTCCATGCAGGTAGTCCCCATGGTTCCTAGTATGGTGATCTACCTTCAGTTGTTGGCGATCTATAGCCCATTTTTACATTGTATTGTCTTCTTTAATTGGAATATTTTAGCTTTGTTCGCTAGTTTTATATTGATATCTGTGATTATCTAGTAGTTTAACTGCCCTTCGTCGGCAGGTTTTTTATAATAACTATATATATATTCTATTGCAATGCCAAATGTTCTCGTCACGATATGGCTGAAATATTGCCGATGTGACGTTAAATAATAACTCACTCACTCACTCACTTTTATAATCTCTCAGAAAAAGGGGCGTTTGCAAATGATGTATACTGACAAAATATGTTGTACCTGTTGTATCCGCTTTCCTTTCAGACTGACTCAGGTCTTGTAGTTTTATGTGAAGTGTTATGTCCTCAACTTCGGAGTCGATTTGACGCAAGCAGTGTAATATCAGGTGTTCTACTTCCCGATGCCTCCTTATCATCTGTATAGCATCCTTTTTGGTTTCGTGCTCAAACACAAACACTATACTGCCACTTTGTACTTCTTTCAGGTTAGCACGATATATTTGCCGAAATGAATCCTTTAAGTCGCAAAGTGGTTCTATCTCCCCCGAGGAGGGATCAACATTTAGCACCTTCTTGTCTGGTTTTGTCTCAAAAGTCCAAATAGATTCGCAAGCGCTATAATATGCTTCATCACTGTCTTCGTCTTGAGACTGGATATCCGTTTCTTTTGTTTCTTTCCCATCCAGGAATCTTGTAACTGAAAAGATATGTGCATAGGGCGCACAATCAATGTATAGTTTAAGTTGGTGAACTGCAACTGATATTTTTTAACTATTGTGTAGATTTTAGCGTACACTGATGTTACCGTAAACCGTCCATCTTTTAACGAAATACGTAAGTGCCAAAAACATTCAAAGTATATTTAATCTTGTTCTTCTCATGCTTGGTTAAATTTGCCAATATTGCCAAGATCTGGTATGGTGTGGCAAAAATCGAGCTAGGGTCCATGCAGGTAGCAAAACTAGTTGTTGGCGATCTAAAGCCAGCTTTTATATTGTATTGTCTTGAATAGTAAAATAGTTTTACATTTACATGACAGTTTTGCATTAATAATAGTGATATTCTAGTTGTTCTTACTGTCCGTCATAGACATATTTTCTAATATATTTTATTTATTCATTTTTATTCATTTTTCAATGTATGAATTGTTTTAGTCACGGTAAGGCTGAATTATTGCCGATGTGACTACAAATTGTAACTCACTCACTCACTCACTCACTCACTCACTCACTATAAAATGAACCTAATTTACAAGAGATAGATGAGACGGTGAACATCAGATGCAGAATATTGTGAGGGCATTAAAAGTAATTGCAGCGATAGGAACGAGGTGACGCATTCACTAGCAGCCAGGATCATGGTGTTGAAAAGGTAGGTTTTAACCAAGTCTGATTTTCAGTGAGAGAGCGTCGGTAACAAACCTGACAGATCTGAGATTTCAGTTTCTTCCTTGAGATAGTGAGCACGTGTTTGTCAGCAGAAAGTGCTTTTGGTGGAAACTGTTTGTACGCGAGTTTCGTGGACATATTCGGTGGCGAAAATATTCACAGGCGTTATGATCAGTCCTAGCTCCAGCAGGTATCCTGTGTTGTGCTACTCATAATATATCTGTTCAGATTCATACGCTAGTCAAAGAACCATCACAACAAACAAGCTGACTGCTAAAACACCAAGCAGGCATAGTTACTAACTTCTCTTCATCGTCCAACCTTAACAACCTTCAAAACATCCTTACCCATCAACACCCGAGTGAAAGAACATCAGTCTTCCGTTACCAGTTCAAAAATCTCTGCTAACATCTAATCTAACCCTCATAAACATATCGTCACCATATGAACTGGGCCGGCATCACCATTCTTGACAAAATCAAACAGACTTCACCAAACGCAAACTCAACGAATGCCATTCACATCAAAACCATCAATCGATGATATTTCATTCAATCCGCTTTGTGAAGCACTCCTCCACCAAGTCAAGCCAACTTTATAAACATCTCCTCCTTTTTTTAATTTACCCCTTTCATTTGTACATCTCTGCACGTCCATGCCTTTCACTCTGCCAACTCATTGGCTCTAACAGCTCACTACCTATCCAGTTATGTTAATTATGTTGTTTTCTTTGTTACATTCCGCATATATTCATCGCCTCCACTTCAGGTTACATTCCTGCTTGACAAGAATCTGTATCGAAACGTCGCACAAACGAACAAAGAAGTTATCATTAAAGTTTGTCTATATAGTCTGTTTTACGTACTATCATATCTCCAGGTATCGGTTACTACTGTGTCAGAAACGCGAGGCGTATCTGTTAACCACTGCCTTCTCAAATTGCTTGGACACAAGGGACAGGTTAGATACAAAGCAGTACATTTTCAGGTGCTTTCCATTAAGGCCTGATTTGTTGATGAGGGGGATTTCTCTTTGGAGATATTCAAAGCGTTCCCTGTTACGTTTCTTATGAATTATCTATTGACGGCCTGGCTTGGAATGAAGCCTCTGCAAGAGCAGCGTCCTGTGCAAGATTTCCTATCATAAGTATGTGTTTATGGATCTCTATCCCCTAGTGACGATGCTAGGGTGGATGTAGCTATGACCACGTGTTGTTTACCTGTCTCACCTGTGATCAGTTTTTGCTATCTACAGATGTGACAAAACTCGGAGCTACTATATGGATGCAAAACATCTTTCAAAGAATGTTGCAACGTTAAGAAAACACAGAACCACAGGAAAATGGCAGATGAAATAAATGCTACAGCTGCAGCTGGAAATAATTGTAAAGAAATGTGGAAACAAATTAAGAACCAAATCCACACAAAGCACGTTTCTTCAATAGCAGCATCCGAATGGCAAGATTATTTAGGAAATTATTAAATCCTGTACTGATTAACACAAACTCTGATTTTGATGAACATGTTAAGGTTTCTTAGAACATCATACATGTAATGAGTGTGCAGGTTGTGCAAATAGTGACGCTTACTTTAACACTGAAATAACTGAGGATGAAATTACAACGGCAATATTGGACCTCAAAAGTGGAAAGGCTCCAGGCATTGATGGGCGTCCGTCAGAACTCTTCAAATTATCATCAAGTAACTCCGTATCTAAAGCTGCTATTTAACAAACTATAGGATGAAGGTATGTTCCCGAAGCAATGGAATATTGGAATAATCTTGGCACACTACAAATCGGGTAATAAGAAGGAGCCTACCAATTACATACGTGCTTTCTGCAAATTTCGGATTACCCACAACGATTTTAAAGTCAACATCTTGTGTCTATGCCTATTGAAGAGCTCTAGTGTACATTTTGCAATTCCCCACAAATTGAAGTCGAAAAACATAATTTCTTTCTGCAAACAGTACCAACACTTCCGTGAAAAATATCTCATTCAACTTAGAAATGTATACAACTGTCCACTCTCACCCCATAATATTTTAAGCTCTAAACATCCACGTATTATATTCATTACTGGTTTACTTATAGCCCACATACTCTCTTGCAGATATAAAGCTACAATGTAATTAATGAGAATGACCACTGCCCATCAGTACCTTATATTATGTAACTGTATTATGGGCCATTTGGCCGACATTACAAATTAAAATCTGTCTGTTTGTCTGTGATGCTAGATAAGCACATCCTGCTCTGGTCGCACGCGTCACAAACAAGTCAAATGCACGTCAATTTTTTACTTGAAAAACACGTGCTATAATAAAACATTCAAGCAGATAACTCTAAGACCGACAAAAGAATTCCAATTAACACATACCTTCTTTCTGCGGGTCTGCCATCTTTGAGGCTTCAAAGACTATATGGACATCACCTGTGGTTGAAAGAATAACCAAACAATAAGCAGGAAGTGGCATAATAATAATAATAATAATAATAATAATAAGGGCCTGATGATGTACGCCTCTTCGTGGTGGGCCTAGATAGGGGAATTACGTTCCCTGAACTGAACCTACATCACCCAGTTAGGGCTGATTCCCCGAAGCTGGGAAATTACTGGGTTACAGAAAACCAAGAAGAGTTCAATCTTTCACTTCCGCAGCCCAGTCAGCCTTCCTCCGGTAAAGAAACAAACCATACTGGAGATGGGACTTACCCCAGGGGAAGGCACAGAATCCGGCCAAGAATATCTTGGTCAAACCATCTCAAATCCACATAACTTGAGTGTGCGAAAGCGACAGGGTGGCCTGATAATCCACGCATTAATGGCAAGTCGCTTAAGCTGCATTGGGACAATGCCATGCCCATGTATGCTTACCTGACGGAGCAAAATCTCCGCGACCAATTCCGGCGTCTTAAAAATCTCATACACCGTGAGCCAGTTCAACCCACAACTGGTGCCCGTCAGGAACCTTTCCATGAGCAGAATGCTTAAGTGGCAGCAGACCCAAAACTTGTAATGGATGTCCGTGTCAACCTCTTTCCTCTTTCTGATGGAAACTCTTCTGGCATAGAGCCAATTGACCCCGAAATGTCGGACCCTCACTCTTCCTCTTCTTCAGTTGCAGATCTTTCAGAAAATCCTGTGTATATTTTGTTTCATTCTATTTATGATGAAATATCTGATATACCTTTAGAAAAACGGAGGTCAATTAAACAAACAAATTTATCTTTTCCCAAACATGAAATTGATTTATTAAATGACATTATTTCTATGAAACTTTCTACGGACTGTTCATTACATGAAGTTAATTGCTGTGTCTACGCTGCTGCTCGAACCTTGGAGGAACTTCACACAGTTTCCAAAGAAAAAAGCATCTAATACTAAGAAGACTACACCAAAGAATAACCGGTTTCAAGTGAAACTAACAGAAACTAGAAAATACGTTTCCTGGATAGAGCTGTGCCTGAAACTAAGATCATCAGGGAGTCCAATGTCAAAACGGCAAAAGACAATTTGGCGAAAACAAAAATTGCAGTACAAGACAACAAAACAAAATGTACTTCTCCAAATTGTCGATTCCCTTAAGGCAAAAATAAAAGTTTGGATTGAAAGAAAGAAAAAGTGGGAAAAGAAAAATAAATTTATCAAACAAAATAAACTTTTCAGAAATAATGAAAAACACTTCTACAGGCAATGCCAATGAAAGGTTCTGGAAACAGTTGTGGTCTATACCCGGCGACTGTAACCTGGAGGCACCATGGGTCAGTGATTATGACAATGCAATGCATGAGAAGGTAACTAGGTCGTTTGTCTGTTACATCTCACCAGATTGCCTGAAAAGTGTTATAAAAAAGTCCAAATCTAATACAGCTCCAGGGCCTGATGGCATTCGAAATCGGTATTGGAAACTGTTCCACTGTGTCCAAACACCATTACTACACTGTTTCAATACTCTCGTGGACACAAGTGATGTTCCTCCATGGTTCTGCAAAGGTCGCACAATTCTTCTCCCCAAGAAAGAAGACTTGACTGATCCCAAAAACTTCCGCCCTATCACATGTTTGAATACACAATACAAAATATTCACAGGGTGTTTGACAAACCTCGTGTCATCTTACTGCTCTTCCAATGATATCATTTACAGAGAGCAGAAGGGAGCAAGAAAGAGATGTTAGGGGTGCAAGGATCAACTTCTTGTACAGAAAATGATTTTGGAAGAGGCTGGATTGACTACAAAAAAGCATACGACTCTGTCCCTAACGAATGGATTCTGAAGTCTCTTCATTGTATTGACCTCCCTAAGCGACTACTTGATTTACTCAAGTCTTTAATGAGTTGCTGGTCGACTCAACTTGAGATGTACTCACAAGGGCAGGTGTAGACTTTGGAATCTATTCAGATCAGAAGGGGGAATATTTCAGGGGGATTCATTTAGTCCTTTTCTTTTTTGTCTGTCTTTAAATCCTTTGAGCTTTCTGCTCAATAATGAGGAGGGTTACCATCCCGGACCTCCTCAGCACAGATCCTCAACACCTCTTACTCATCTCCTTTACATGGATGACATCGAGCTCCTTGCCAAAGGAGATTCCAATTTGAAAGAGCAGGTTCTCCTTGTCGAGTCCTTTTCTAATGATATTGGCATGACATTTGGACTCGACAAATGTAATACTCTTCATTTGAAACGTGGCAAGGTAACTAATGATGGATCGGTAAAGTTACAAGGGGGGGGGGGGGGAGTTATTGATAATCTTGTGGAAGATCAGGCCTACACCTATCTTGGAATGCAAGTTCGAGGCAAGCTCCAGAATGCCCAGATTCAAGACAAACTTCGGGCCGAGTACAAATCTCGCTTAAAGAAAATCTGGAGCTCAGAGCTAAATGCTCGAAAAAAAGGTCAAAACCACCAATACTTTTGCTGTGCCAGTTCTTTCTTATTCCTTTGGAGTAGTTGACTGGACAAAACAATACATCCAGAGTCTTGACCGTCTGACCAGAAGGATTATGTCTGATAACAGAGCCCACCACCCTCGTTCCTCTCTTAACCGTTTATACATGCCAATCAATTCTGGAGGTCGGGGTTTGATTAATGTGGAGGCTCTTCATGACAGCATTTTATTGTGTACTTTTGCACATATTTATTTATCGGATGATCCTCTAGTGATGCATGTCAAGACTCATGATGAAAGCAAGGAATTCCACAGCTATTTTAAGCGTGCCAAGGTTGTTGGACAGAATCTGAAATTTGAGGTTGATTTTGCTGATGGCGATGTACTGCTGGATTGTACAGTGATGGGAGTAAACCAGGTGAAGTCCTTCACCAAGTCTGCCCAGAGTCGGTCTTTTGTGGAGAAGCTTTCTGAGAAACCATTGCATCGTGTGTACATGCAGTGTGTTGAACAGAATAGCAATCCCACCGACTCCTTCGCCAGGATGAAGTCGGCTGGTCTTAAATGTGAAACTGAGGGCTTTCTTTTGCTGCTCAGGACCAGTCACTTCCCACTCGCAATCGCCTAAATGTGATTCTTAAAGAAAATATCAATATGAAATGTCGACTTTGCAATGAATTCACAGAGACTGTCCAACACCTTGTCAGTGGATGCCCTTCCTTGGCACAAACAGCATATCTTAAACGACATGATGGCATGCCTCGCTGCTTTTACTACCGTCTCCGACATGCCTGTGGCTTTGACTCCGAGGTCCATCCATGGAACGACCCTGAACATGTCCAGGACGTCATGGAAAATGATGCTTTCAAACTTCTGTGGAATAGGCCCATATACAGCCTCAGAAGAATTCCTGCCAACAAACCTGATCTTGTCCTCATTGATAAAGCCAATGAATGTATTTATATCATTAAATTTTCTGTCCCTTTTGACACCAATGTGATTGGCAAGATTAAGGAAAAGCATGATAAATATGCGGACCTCGCCTTTGAAATGTCTCGCTTGCATCCCAAGTACACTGTCGTCAGGCTCCCCATTTTTCTCGGTGCCCTTGGTTTGGTACCTCCTGATCTCTTGGCGCAGATCAGGAGAGTACCCGGGTTCTCCACCGGGAGTACAGCCCTTCTGACACTCTGGGTAATGCAGAAGGCTGCAGTGTTGGGGAGCCTTCATATTCTCCGGAAAGTTCTTGGTGGGTTCGACTAGGCAGCGTTTCCTGGGAGAAGTCCCATTCACTGTCTGGGCTGCGTGTAGAGGGGGCAAGGGCCCTGAGCTGATGATGAGTCTTACCAGCCTGACTGTGCCAGGATCACCCGAGCCCTCTCTGCTGCATACTATCTTAAATCTGTAAAACATATAATAATAATATTATTCTTTATTCCTCCATCGGAGAGTACAATAACATGGACAGGCAGAAAACGTACATTACGTCTGAGAGATATTTAAAAGGAGAATACATTAGAGTCATTGGAGCAGCACTGGATTAGATGAGTTTGGTTTTAAGTCACTTTACGATAAAGTAAATCCGGTGTATTTACACAGTCTATATAATCCTTGAACGACCAGAGAAGAGTAGATGGTGTTGTCAGTGTCATCCAAAGGGACATATGGAGTGCATGATAGAAGACAGCATACCACATCCTCCTCAGGTTGGTTGAGCAGATTCACTCCCAGCTCTATTGGACCAATACTTGAGATTTCAAGCCACAGTTTATCTTTCGGCCGTGGGAGCCGTGCCTATTAACACTTATCAGAGGGGCACACAAAGTCTGCAGTCTAGACTACCAGTTGTCCGACTTCCATTTTTGTGGAAGCTGAGCGGGTTAGGCGGCTGGCTTTGTGTGCTGGCGATTAGGTGCCTGACTCTGAGGGTGTGAGTTCGAATCCCGGATGGGGCTCAACTCCAAAAGTACTAGATTTTGTACTTTACTAAGAAAGTGTAATCCCAAATATAACATATGTTACATTTGACCACTTTCTAAATGGCATTGTGTAATCATAGCTTTCGGCCGTGGGAGCCGTGCCTATTAACACTTATCAGAGGGGTACACAAAGTCTGCAGTCTAGACTACCAGTTGTCCGACTTTCATTTTTGTGGAAGATGCAGTAGCTGAGCGGGTTAAGCGGCTGGCTTTGTGTGCTGGCGATTAGGTGCCTGACTCTGAGGGTGTGAGTTCGAATCCCGGATGGGGCTCAACTCCAAAAGTACTAGAATTTGTACTTTACTAAGAAAGTGTAATCCCAAATATAACATATGTTACATTTGACCACTTTCTAAATGGCATTGTAATCATAGCTTTCGGCCGTGGGAGCCGTGCCTATTAACACTTATCAGAGGGGTACACAAAGTCTGCAGTCTAGACTACCAGTTGTCCGACTTTCATTTTTGTGGAAGATGCAGTAGCTGAGCGGGTTAAGCGGCTGGCTTTGTGTGCTGGCGATTAGGTGCCTGACTCTGAGGGTGTGAGTTCGAATCCCGGATGGGGCTCAACTCCA